TCCATCCTGGGTTTAACCAGGCTGGATTGTGTGAGGAGCTCACAAATCCTTGAAAGATCTGGGCAAAGTCCCATCGGTGAGCTCCGGCAGGCAAGGCTGCGTTGGCTGGGTCATGTAGCCCGCATGCCTAGCCACCGCATACCTAAACAGCTTCTGTTCGGCTGGATCGAGGGAGCTAAACGGGCGCGGCACGGGCTAGAGAAGAGATGGAGTGATGTGATACAGGAGGACGTGGAGCTGAGTGGACTTGCCGATGACTGGTACCAGCGGTGTCAAGATCGGCCTCTGTGGAGGAGGCTCGTGAAGGACGCTACTGGGCAGTTGGAAGCAGTCGCCCTCCAACAACAACGAGCGGAGCGCCGGGTGGCTAAAGCACAGCAAGTTGGCACACTAGGGGGCACAGGTGGTGCATCAGCCAGTCGTCTCGGTCATCTCAGTCAGTCGACCCGTGGCACCTGGGTCTGCCCCGTGACCTCCTGCCAGCGGACGTTCGACACTTCACGTGGCATCAAGGTGCACATGGCCTGGCACAAGCGTCGTGGTGACGTCACCACCACTTAGTGGCGAATGGCGGTCGTTGTTGTGTGTGAGTGTGATGGTGTGTGGGTGTGTGTGGGTGTGTGTACCGGGTTCGATTCCCACTCACGGCCAACACCGCCAGTGAGGATTATCTGAACCGGTCCCGGGCCTCCCCTAGGTCGACTCAGCCTCAAATGAGTACCTGGTGTGATGTGTAAACAGCGTCACTAGGGAGACAAAGGCGGCCGGGCGTGATGTTGGCCACCCACCCCCTCGTGTGCCGTGCCGGCCTTCATAGGTGCTCGCTAACAGCACTTGCCCCTACAGTCTGTTAAGGCTACACGGGGGATCTTTGTGTGCAGTGAGTGTCACTGAGTATAATCATCATCAGCCTGGCACAGGAGTCAACCCATGTCACCTGCTGGGTCTGTCCCGTGACTTCCTCATGCACCTAGCCTGGCACAGCAGTCAACCCATGACACCTGCAGGGTCTGTCCCGTGACCTCTTCCTGTACCTAGCCTGGCACAGCAGTCAACCCATGGCACCTGCAGGGTCTGTCCCGTGACCTCCTCCTCCTGCACCTAGCCTGGCACAGCAGTCAACCCATGGCACCTGCTGGGTCTGTCCCGTGACGTCCTCCTGCACCTAGCCTGGCACAGCAGTCAACCCATGGCACCTGCTGGGTCTGTCCCGTGACCTCCTCCTGCACCTAGCCTGGCACAGCAGTCAACCCATGGCACCTGCTGGGTCTGTCCCGTGACCTCCTGCACCTAGCCTGGCACAGCAGTCAACCTATGGCACCTGCTGGGTTCTGTCCCGTGACCTCCTCCTCCTGCACCTAGCCTGGCACAGCAGTCAACCCATGGCACCTGCAGGGTCTGTCCCGTGACCTCCTGCACCTAGCCTGGCACAGCAGTCAACCCATGGCACCTGCTGGGTCTGTCCCATGACCTCATGCACCTAGCCTGGCACAGCAGTCAACCCATGGCATCTATTGAGAATAAATAAATATTTGTATTTAATGTATAATATTTGTGAACAAAATTTAAAATAAATCAAATGTAACATTTATATATAAAAAGATATATTTTTTTACATTGTAATAGATACTATACCTAAAATATATTTTCGTAAATATTACAGCTTCCGTCCTAGGATGGGCAAACTGAGCTAGTAAAGTATAAGCTGACATATTTTTACATATTTTTTTTTGTTAAAATTAGGCGCGTTAGGTTGTCGTGAGGGACATTTACCTCAACTTTATCGGGATAAACGACGTTGGCAACGATTAACAAGGGTTACTTTCACAACATTTACTTATACTTTCACGCGCGGAGTCACCCCAAGGCTTCCTGACCCCCACCGAATTGGCGGGAATTTTCAAACGTTTCGTAAAAAATTACCTGAAACCAGTTGCCCGTGTTTCCCTGTGCGACTGGTCGCCGGGGGGGACAGGACCTGGTGCATTGTCCGCAGGTGCCGGTGGGCACACCTCCCACATTGCTGCCGCAACCGTGGATTCGGTTTGGTAAGCGGAGCTGGTTTGTACACCCCTCTCGCCGTGTGAGTTTGTCTCCTCTTTGTATCGCAGGGGCCGAGTGTGGGCTGTGCCTGGCGAGCCGGGCCGTGCGTCCGCTCGTGTCGGCCTCGCGTGCTCTGGACGTGAAGGACACGACGACCCGGTCGACTGCTCTTCGTGGGGAGTCAGCTTCCAGGCAGAGGTCGCAACCGGGTACCCGAATACCCGTACCCTACCCGATAGCCGGCTACACGTACCCAGCCGGGTACGGGTAGCCGTTTGCGACCCTGGTGCGGCCGGGTACTGGTAGGCCGTGAGTCACTGGTGAGTCACCATTTGTCACTCATTTCCCAACGTCTTGTCTCTTCTCACAATTCAAGTTCATAGAATCAACCCACCCGCGCCTGCAACATGGCTTCATCCCAGAGGTCACAATCAGGTACCCGATACCCGTACCCTACCCGATAGCCGGCTACCCGTACCCGGCCGGGTACTGGTACGGGTACCCGTTTGCGACCCTGGTGCGGCCAGGTACGGGTAGCCGTGAGTCACTGGTGAGTAACCGTTTGTCACTCATTTCGGGTAGGGTACGGGTACGGGTAGGCCGTGAGTCACCGGTGAGTAACCGTTTATCACTCATTTCGGGTAGGGTACGGGTAGGCCGTGAGTCACTGGTGAGTAACCGTTTGTCACTCATTTCGGGTTAGGGTACGGGTACGGGTAGGCCGTGAGTCACCGGTGAGTAACCGTTTATCACTCATTTCGGGTAGGGTACGGGTAGGCCGTGAGTCACCGTTTGTCACTCATTTCGGTAGGGTACGGGTACGGGTAGGCCGTGAGTCACTGGTGAGTAACCGTTTGTCACTCATTTCGGGTAGGGTACGGGTAGGCCGTGAGTCACCGGTGAGTAACCGTTTGTCACTCATTTCGGGTAGGGTACAGGTAGGCCGTGAGTCACTGGTGAGTAACCGTTTGTCACTCATTTCGGGTAGGGTACGGGTAGGCCGTGAGTCACTGGTGAGTAACCGTTTGTCACTCATTTCGCGTAGGGTACGGGTAGGCCGTGAGTCACCGGTGAGTCACCGTTTGTCACTCATTTCGGGTAGGGTACGGGTACGGGTAGGCCGTGAGTCACTGGTGAGTCACCGTTTGTCACTCATTTCGGGTAGGGTACGGGTAGGCCGTGAGTCACTGGTGAGTCACCGTTTGTCACTCATTTCGGGCAGGGTACGGGTGGCGTACGGGAACCCGTACCCGGCCGGGTACGGGTAAGGAATCAAAACCCGTTTGCGACCTCTGCTTCCAGGGCAGATGAGCCCGACCCGCCTGGAGGGCCGGCGTCACGGACTCGTTCGAAGACTCGACTCTCACGATCCCCGCGCGTTGCACGCTCCCACACCGCCGTGGCTTGTCGCGCTCGCGTGAGTCGTGGCAAGCGTTTGGCTGATCCTTTCCGCCATCGAGCTGACGGGCGTTGTTTACACGTTGTGGGTGGGAGATGTTTATTGTGGGGATTTTGTACGACGCGATTGTTGTGTTGTTCATTTCTCTCGCTGCAGTGGTTTCTTTTTCCTCTCTCTCGGTGTACATATTGTACAGTTGGGTTTGGGTAATTTATCGTGCTGTCTTGTTATTGTTGGAGCGCACCTGCTTGTTGTTCTGTATAATTGTACGTCGGTTGCTTACTTGCGGGGGAGTTGGCAGCCGGGACGGCTGGAAGCTACAGAGAGGGGGAGTGATGTAGTGACTGTGAATGTCACCGTGTGCTGCCGGGCTTACGAAGCTACGGCGGATGATGTGTTGGCATTACGTGCAGCCCGCTCACTGGGCGTAGTACCAGCCCTAGCGGGGCTTCGGTGAGCGCTGGTCAGTGCGGAGGCACCGCGTGCAGTGTGCGGTGCGGGCTCCCGGTGAGGGAGCGTCAGCCAGCCAGGGTTGCGTTGGGGCACGATACGCTGATTGACCTGCCGACACGTCACCGGATGATATTGCAGGGGGGCCACCGGTGGACGGGGGCCGCTGGGCGGTCACGTGGTATAGAGAAGCCCTCGGGATCCTTCGGGAAAGAGGTGGGCGGGGCGAGGGCCGGAGCCAGCCCAGCCCAGGCCGATATAACGGGGGGGCCCGTGAGGCGGTCGTGGGTTCTTCGTGTGGCCGGTGAAGAAGATTCACGTCGGGGAGAAGAAGCCTCGAGCCACGCGCTCCGGGAGCCAGCAGCTCATGGTCCGGGCCGGGATAGCGAGCCGTGTCTAGTTGTGCCGTAGCGTGGGATAGATGGGCACTCAACATAGTAGTAGGTTTTTACCCTTTAAACTGGTACAAAACTGACACCTTTATACAAGGGGTCATGTTTGCAATAACCACAACACAAGCAGCCAAAATGCAAACAAAAAGAAACAACTCTGATGATGATGATAATGATATGCACTGTCCTTGAAGTTGATTGGTCCACACCCGAGACAACTTTTCTTAGAGCCTAGTCTCCATTGGTGTTGGACCAGATGACGCCAAAAGGCGCACAACTCAACACCCAAGTGTAGCTCGTATTGTGTTACGTTGAGTCGGTGAAACAGCGTTGCTCCCAAGACGTCTTCCGACTCAGTTGGATTCACTACGGGTGTCATATAAAACATGGAATTAAACAAATGCAACAAGCCTCCAGGAAAATTCTTCTTTAAGCGCGGTGAGAGAAAAGGCACAAATGTTTAAAGAGACGCAACATGTCATTTATTGCAGATAGTTTCACATCAATAATTTCATCTCAGTCAACATTCACCGTGTTTTTATTGATCCCCCCATTATTGGCAGACATTGTGTCAAAGGCAGAGGCGCAGCCCTGCAATTCCTGCTCGTGCCACCGCTGGCAGATGGGGCACCACTTGAGGCGGGGGGAGGGGGGGGGTAATTTTTACTCTTTCACGTTGGCCAGACATCTTTGAAGAGGACTTTGTACGCGACATAAATACGTCATGAACCTGTGAGCAACTGTTACACTTCTAGCAGGATACTCGTAAGCTGTGCTTAGGCCGGACAGGAACTAAACGATGTTTGTCGTGAGTGTTGTACCGCAACATTTTCCAGCTATATATTTTCACACAGCTCTACTACTTAAGATTTATGTTCCATTAAAAGTTAAGATTCCGTTTAAAAATCACGACTTACGTCGGTAACGCTGAACACACAAAATTCATTATGAACGATCAAAGACAACAACTGTCTGACATTGCCACTCAAAAAGTGTTTTACAGAAATTCAGGCAATTTAAAACAACACGTCACCACAATTTCTTGGCTGTAAGTTTTGTTTCTGTGTAACCAGTTTTCAATACTTCAAGTCAAATTGTGTAAACGCACACAATCAACACGTATCCCACGACAATTGTTTGAACATTTAGGTTGGTAGTTAGCACCTTTTAACGCCTCTGAATTTTCATCTGATTCAAACCCCGAGCCATTTCAATGTTTGCATCTCTCATTGCCACTGCCAAAAAATTCATTCCCTCAAGTTTAAAAATATTAACGATGCAGATATTACGATGCACTTTCTAAAGACGTGTACTATTTTACTGTTCAACGCCTGACAGAGGTCGGACCACACGTTAATGGAAGCCTCATTTTTGTAAAGAGAAAAGTAAAAAAATTGACATGGCTTGGTGATGGCCGTTCTCTCTTCTGAGGCGCTCTCTCGTCACCGTGGCGTGCGAGATGACCACCACCACCACAACCACCACCACCACGTGACTTTTATTTCGTGTTGCGCTGCATTTAGCGCCACAGCGTGCGGATTTACAGCGTTCATTCGTTTGTTTGCTGGTGACTTTGTGTATTTCATATCGGAATCGCCTCCAGTGCTGTTGCTGCTGGAGGCAATAAAAGTTGTGTACAAGTCCAAAGTCTCTGTCTCTCTCTGTCTCTCTTCTCGTCTTCACTGTCGCTGCCCGTCGGAGCTCGGCGTCTACGGCTCCTCTCCTAGGTGGGCGTCCCCGGCCCGAACGCTCGCAGGAAGCCCTCCTGTGTGGCAGCAGAGAAACAGAACGGAAAGAGAGCCCCACCACCACCATCATCATCATCACACAGCTTCTGCTGCTGCTGCTGCTCAGAGCCCCGAGCTGTAAATGCTCTGCTGATACGCGTGGCATTGTTCTTGTGCTGGTCGCCTTTTGGCATTGTTCTCTGATCTGATACTGGTGGTGAGTCACTGGGTAGAGAGACACTGGGTAGTGAGACACTGGTGGTGAGTCACTGGTACAGAGACACTGGGTAGAGAGACACTGGGCAGTGAAACACTGGGTAATGAGACACTGCTAGTGAGCCACTGCTAGTGAGACACTGGTGGTGAGACACTGGGTAGTGAGACACTGCTAGTGAGACACTGGGTAGTGAGACACTGCTAGTGAGACACTGGTGGTGAGACACTGGTGGTGAGACACTGGGTGGTGAGTCACTGGGTAGTGAGACACTGGGTAGTGAGACACTGGGTAGTGAGACACTGGGTAGTGAGACACCGGGTAGTGAGACACTGGTGGTGAGTCACTGGTACAGAGACACTGGGTAGTGAGACACTGGGTAGTGAGACACCGGGTAGTGAGACACTGGTGGTGAGTCACTGGTACAGAGACACTGGGTAGTGAGACACTGGGTAGTGAGACACTGCTAGTGGGACACTGGGTAGTGAGACACTGGGTAGTGAGACACTGGTACAGAGACACTGGGCAGTGAGACAATGGGTAGAGAGACACTGGGTAGTGAGACAATGGGTAGAGAGACACTGGGTAGTGAGACACTGGGTAGTGAGACACTGGTACAGAGACACTGGGTAGAGAGACACTGGGTAGTGACACACTGGGTGGTGAGACACTGTGTAGTGAGACACTGAATGCGTGGAATGTTCGAACTCTCACTGCTGAGGAGAGGCTGCCACTCCTCTGTCGGGAGCTGGACAGGTACCGACTGGATCTCTGTGGTGTTTAGGAGGTCCGGTGGACCGGCTCTGGCTCCTGACATCATGAGGGGTGGACAGTCCTCTACTTGGGGCAGGAGACTGCCAAACAACAAGGAGTGGCTCTTCTGAATAAAAGAATGAAGGGGGCGAGGGAGTGTGGCGGTGAGGTGTGGGAATCTGTAAGCCCCAGTCTACTTTGGGCTCGCCTTCCCATCAACCGGAGGCGAGGAGCGGTGGTCGTGGTTACTTATGCCCCCACCGAAGACGAACATCCGTGGAGGGATGCAGGCAAGGCCGATGAGTCAGATGCCTTCTATGACCTCATGTCACAGGTGCTGGCGAAAGTGGCCCCTCGGGATAGAGTCATCTTGTTGGGTGACTTCAATGCCCGAGTTGGTCATGATGCTAGCACCTGGTCTGGAGTGATTGGAGGACATGGGTCAGATCAACTCAATAACAACGGTAGGAGGCTGCTCGATTTTGTGCAGCCCATGGGCTTTCAATTACCAACACGCTGTTCCGGCGCAGTGGTGTTGATGGTAGCGGTGTGTAACCCCTCACCCAGCCTCCCTGTTCCATGAGCCAGGTCTTGCGTGTGGTCAACAGCACAGCGGCCACCGCGTCCGTCAAGGGCCAAGTCTCCTCCGAGTCGCCCAGACGACCGGAGGCCCTCAGGTTCTTGACGAGCAGCGCGCAAAACACCACCATGGACAGCACGCAGCCCCAGCTCATGGGCCCCGCGGTGAGAACCTGCCAGGCCAGGGTCATGACCAGCCGGCGCGGGTCCACTTGCTTCGCCAGCTCCTCCGCGCGCCTCACAAAGTCTGGGATGGAGGCTTCGAACTCCGCCAGCAACGCGTCTCCTCGGGTGTCGAGCGCCTCCTGCAGAAGCTCCACACGCATCCGCACCAGCCGCCGGGAGGTCTGGAGCAGCGAGCGCACCTCCCGCAGCTGCCGCTGTATTTGCCGCGCCTGCCGCTGCAGCTCCTGCCACTCCTTGAACTGCTGCAACTGCTGGAAATGCTCCTGCTGCATTTCGTGCAGCTGCTTGAACCGACGCATCAGCTGCACCTCCTGGAGCTGATACTTCTTCTGCAGCTCCTGCAGCAGCTGCTGCTGCTGCTGCACATCCAGGAGCTGCTCCTGCTGCTGCAGCTGCTGCACAAGCTCCTGTTGCCGCTGCACCTGCTGGAGCTGCTCCTGCACCTGCTGCATGTGCTGGAATTGCTGCTGCCAGAGCTTCTCCATCCACTGCTGCTGCTGCTGCTGCGACAGCAGGAGATGTTGCTGCACCGCCGGGAGCTGCTCCTGCAACTGCTGAAGCTGCTGCTGCAGCTGTTGCTGCAGCCCCTGCTGCAGCAGAGGCTGCTGCTGCTGCACAGGCTGCTGCTGCTGCTCCGTCTGCTGCGTCAGGTGAGCCACGTAGCCGGAGATGAGATCGCCGGTTACGATGGTCAGCAACTGCATCGCTTCATCCTCCTCCTCCTCCTCCTCGCAGCCACCGCCCCTCGCCTGAATCTCCCCCGCAGAATGCGACGCGGCTTGGGCAGAGACCGCAGGCTGCATGGCGGTGTAGGCCTCAGTGGCGGGTGTTGACTTCGTTGTTGCTGATTCCGCTGCCGCTGTTGCTGTGGGAGGGTCGTTGATGTCGCGAGGCAATTGAGGAGGTAGAGGAGGTAGAGGGGGTAGAGGAGGTAGAGGAGGAGGTAGAGGAGGTGGCAACTTCGCGACTCGATGGAAGCTGTTGGCTTCTACCTCCATTGCGATTTGGTTAACGGTGATGTCGTCGGATCGATCCGTGGATCGATTCCTCCATGCGATTACGTTAGAATCGACTTCGATTGCAAGCCGTCGGTCGATTCTGACCTCGATTCACGATCCTCACCGGGGGGGGGGTCACAGAGACCCATAGACTACAGAAGAGATAAATAATAAAAAATAATGTAAATAATAATAGAAATAAAATAATAAATCACGACGTACAGTTTTTTTTTTCTGTGCCTTTTTACACCTGATGAAGGAAGTTTGTGTTGCCTCCGAAACGTCGTGATTTATTATTTTATTTATATTATTTATATTTTGTATTTTTACCTACGTGACTTTACCGATAAAACCTACTCCTGGCAGTCACGAAAGCTTCAAATGTAGAATTACTGATAGAGACCCATCGACTCTCTAAGCTGTCTTGTGGTTGTTGTTGTTTGACTTGCATCCCACTGGGATGTTTGCACACAGCGTTGGTGTACACGGTGACTTTTGTCTGCAATATTTTGCTGTGTTTTCTTGGATTTTCTGTTTGCACTCAGTCACATAGTCACTTTAAGATGTTTTTTGTTCATGTTTTTGTTTTTTGTTTGTTTTTTCATTTTGCACGTAGTCACTTTAAGATGTTTTTTGTTCATGTTTTAGTTTTTTGTTTGTTTTTTCATTTTGCACGTAGTCACTTTAAGATGTTTTTTTGTTCATGTTTTTTTGTTTTTTCAGTTTGCACCCGATTCAAGAACCGAATGGCTCACAGGGCTCTACCTAGTACATGAACTTGAACTTGACTCACGCACAGAGACCCATAGACGACACCACGCAGACAGCCAATGACACCTGGGGGCTCTGCCCACGTGGTGCGTAAGCCCCGCCCCCTCCTGACACGTGACCCGCGCTGGGCGTGGCCAGACGCTGTCACGTGGGAGCTGCAGTGGTGCCACGTGTCTCTGTGCTGCTGCTGCTGCTACTTGAAGCCGGTACGGTTATAACAGCAATTGATTAACAGATCACTTGCCTTGACGGCTTAGCGGATCAATTTAGACTTAAAACTTTCGTGACTGCAGGAATTCATATTCTTGGTTCTTTTGGTAAAATCGCGTTGATGGAAAATAAAAAATAAGAAAAAAAAATGGAAAATAATAAAAGCAAAACACGCCATTTTTTCAATATTTTATTATAATTTTTTTCTATTTACGTGACTTTATAACAGAAAGAACCAATAATCTATAGAGGGTTAGCCGATTTAATTCGTTAATCGATTTGTTGTCTGTTGGGATTTTTGCACACAGAGTTGGTGTAACTGTGATTTTTTGTCTGCAATATTTTGCTGTCTTTTCTTAGATTTTCTGTTTGCACTCAGTCACATATTCACTTTAAGATGTTTTTTGTTCATGTTTTTGTTTGTTGCGGTTGTACCCGATTCAAGAGCCGAATGGCTCACAGGGCTACACCTAATACTTGAACTTGAAGTGGTGGTGACGTCACCAGGACGCTTGTGCACACACCACACACACAGTCACACACACACAGTCACACACACACAGTCACACACCACACACACAGTCACACACACTCACACACCACACACACAGTCACACACCACAGACACACACACAGTCACACACACAGACACACACACCGACACACACAACAACAACAACAACCCCCATTCGCCACATTTTCTGTTTGCACTTAGTCACATAGTCACTTTAAGATGTTTTTTGTTCATGCTTTTGTTTTTTGTTTGTTGCGGTTGCACCAGACTCACAGGGCTACACCTAATACATGAACTTGAACTTGCAGTAGTGCAGCTCAACAGGGAGCGGATTCAGCAAGTTGCAGCAGCCTCTTTCGAAGGCGCAGCGACGTCTCTCCAGCAGCAGTAGCAGCATCAGCAGCAGCTGCAGTAGCAGCAGCTGCAGTACACGTGCACAATTCATTCCAAGGTGGGTTTGTGTGGTGTGTGTGTGGTGTGTGTGGTGTGTGACTGTGTGGGGTGTGTGACTGTTTGTGGTGTGTGTGTCGTGTGTGACTGTGTGTGACTGTGTGTGGTGTGTGACTGTGTGTGGGGTGTGTGTGTGTGGTGTGTGACTGTGTGTGGTGTGTGACTGTGTGTGGGGTGTGTGTGTGTGGTGTGTGTGGTGTGTGACTGTGTGTGACTGTGTGTGGGGTGTGTGTGGTGTGTGACTGTGTGTGGTGTGTGACTGTGTGTGGGGTGTGTGTGTGTGGTGTGTGTGGTGTGTGACTGTGTGTGGGGTGTGTGTGTGTGGTGTGTGTGGTGTGTGGCTGTGTGTGGTGTGTGACTGTGTGTGGGTGTGTGTGTGTGGTGTGTGTGGTGTGTGACTGTGTGTGGGGTGTGTGTGTGACTGTGTGGTGTGTGACTGTGTGTGGTGTGTGACTGTGTGTGGTGTGTGGTGTGTGACTGTGTGTGGGGTGTGTGTGGTGTGTGACTGTGTGTGGTGTGTGTGACTGTGTTTGTGTGACTGTGTGTGGTGTGTGTGACTGTGTTTGTGTGACTGTGTGTGACTGTGTGTGACTGTGTGTGACTGTGTGTGTTGTGTGACTGTGTTTGTGTGACTGTGTGTGGTGTGTGACTGTGGTGTGTGTGACTGTGTGTGACTGTGTGTGTGTGGTGTGTGCACAAGCATCGTGGTGACCCACCCCCCCGTGTGCCACAGTGCCGGCCTTGATAAGTGCTGCTACTCGCTGACAGCACTTGCCCCCGACAGTCTGTTAGAGGCTATACGGGGGATCTTTGTCTTTGGCAGTGGCGGTGCACAAGGTGCGTGCAGGAGGTGCGTGCAGGAGGTGCGTGCAGGAGGTGCGTGCAGGAGGTGCGTGCAGGAGGTGCGTGCAGGAGGTGCGTGCAGGAGGTGCGTGCAGGAGGTGCATGCAGGAGGTGCGTGCAGGAGGTGCGTGCAGGAGGTGCGTGCAGGAGGTGCGTGCAGGAGGTGCGTGCAGGAGGTGCGTGCAGGAGGTGCGTGCAGGAGGTGCGTGCAGGAGGTGCGTGCAGGAGGTGCGTGCAGAAGGTGCTTGCAGGAGGCCGAACGGCGCCCGGAGGAGACGCGTCCCACGAAGAGCTTCCATGAAGAAGTGCGGGAGCGAGGCGAGAGAGGGATGGGACCAAGGAATTGTGCGTGGGAGGTCTCGTGAGGGAGGGGAGCGAAGGGGGGGGGGGGCAGATGAAGGTCAGCGAGGGGCAGGAGCTCGGCCTGAGGGGCACGGAACCGGGGCGGAGTCGGGGAGCGGGAGGGGAAGAGGGGAGAGAGAGACGGCGCAGCAACAGTCGAGGGCCAGAGACGCGGCGAGCGAGAGACGCAGAGACGAGGCGGCGTGGGGAGCGCGGCAAGAGAGAGAGAGAGACAGCCATCAGAGGAATTTCATTCAACGGTTCTTGAGGCAGAGGCTAGGGGGGTCCGGTTCGGACGGAGCGAGAGAGACGGGGCGAGATGAGGGGAGGGGCAGAGACGTCGCGAGAGATCGGCAAAGAGAAGGGGAGGCGAGGGGAAGACAGGAAGAGAGAGAGAGACATCAGAGGGCGCCGAGCCTTCGTCGATTTATAAGCGAGAGGTTAGGGGGATTCAGTTGGGAAGGAGGGAGAGAGACGGGGAGGCAGGGAGGGAGAGAGACGGGGGCCCAGGGAGGGAGGGAGATGGGGGGACAGAGAGGGGGAGAGATGGGGGGGCAGAGAGGGAGAGGGGGGCAGGGAGGGAGAGAGACGGGGGGGCAGAGAGGGGGAGAGAGAGGGGGACAGGGAGGGGGAGAGACGGGGGGGGAGAGAGGGGGAGAGAGAGGGGGACAGGGAGGGAGAGAGACGGGGGGGCAGAGAGGGGGAGAGATGGGGGGGCAGAGAGGGGGAGAGATGGGGGGGCAGAGAGGGAGAGGGGGGCAGGGAGGGAGAGAGACGGGGGGGACAGAGAGGGGGAGAGACGGGGGGGCAGAGAGGGGGGCAGAGAGGGGGAGAGAGAGGGGGGCAGGGAGGGAGAGGGGGGCAGGGAGGGAGAGAGACGGGGGGGGCAGAAAGGGGGAGAGACAAAAGGGCAGGGAGGGAGAGAGCTGTAGATGCCACTGGTTCTTCACATTCTGTAGATGTAAATGCCACTGGTTCTTCACGTTCTACAGATGTAGATGCAACTGGTTCTTCACGTTCTGCAGATGTAAATGCCACTGGTTCTTCACGTTCTGCAGATGTAGATGCCACTGGTTCTTCACGTTCTGCAGATGTAGATGCCACTGGTTCTTCACGTTCTGCAGATGTAGAAGCCACTGGTTCTTCACGTTCTGCAGATGTAGATGCCACTGGTTCTTCACGTTCTGCAGATGTAGATGCCACTGGTTCTTCACGTTCTGCAGATGTAGAAGCCACTGGTTCTTCACGTTCTGCAGATGTAGATGCCACTGGTTCTTCACGTTCTGCAGATGTAGAAGCCACTGGTTCTTCACGTTCTGCAGATGTAGATGCCACTGGTTCTTCACGTTCTGCAGATGTAGATGCCACTGGTTCTTCACGTTCTGCAGATGTAGATGCCACTGGTTCTTCACGTTTTGTAGATGTAGATGCCACTGATTCTTCACGTTCTGCAGATGTAGATGCTAATTCCCTTTGGCACGTGTTTCCTCTCTATTCTCTTGAAATACCTACTAAGAGATGTCTGCACAGTTGTTCTCTTCATCTCTGCACAAATCAACTTGTGATGGGCAATCGCATCGTTGAACTGCGGTAACGGGACATACGGACAGGTTTGTACGTATCTCTGAAAGTTCCCAAGTCGAATGTTTGTAAGTAGAGGTAGTCCCTGTACTACATCGGGCACAATCTGGGGGCAGGGGTGGGGGTCAGGGAATTGGGTGATGCAACAGATGTTCATTAGGGATAGAGGGGTTGGTTGTCCCTGTGGAGGCGGCATTGCCGAGGGGACAGGACAGGAAGGGTGGGTCACCCTTGACACGTGAAGGACACGGCTTCGAATCCCGTCTAGTGAGCAAAACGAACAAAGACGCCAAGGTCACCGTGAACCGATGTCACGACTCCCCCGCGCTGACGTCATATCGAATTTAATTTAAGTGACGCCACTATATTTTCAAAACGAGTGTGATTTTTACAGTATTTTTGTTTTAAGACGCGAGGTTGCCACCTGTCCTTGCTTTGATGTAATATCCCTGCATTGATGCATTTCATTTCATTAAATTGATATCAGTAGATTGCCACAGTTATCATTTGTAATTCTTTACGACGCGAGTTTGCCACCCGTACTGGTTCCCCCCCCCCCCCCCCCCCAAGATCATCTTCTTATGGAGGTCGGCTCCCGTGGGATATCTCCAAGTCTTCGCAGAAACGTGACTTGGCAAGTCCTGGTTTTTTGCCAGTCGCGTGAAAGTTTGCCACTCAATAGCGTGCATGTACACGCACAGTCATCCTCCCCCGTCTCTCTTATGCTGTTGTGAATACAGGGGGGGGGAGTGCTTCAGAAACAAGTGAACACTTCTGAGACTTTGCAACAACAGCACAGGAGAACGTGCTGCCTCCGGCCTCTGGAGACCTGCACCTGTAGAAGATTCCGGGCGCGCGTTGACAATGTTGGCGAAGACTCTTCGGCTTTTTAAATCCTTTATATTAAGTTCGCTTGCTTGCGCGCTTACGACCGTGCAAACCTTTCGGTCGTTTTTTAACCCACTTCCCGTGATCCAATCGAGCTGACATTTTGCACACAGACTCGTTGTGCGTGACAATTAATGTTCGTGAAAAAAAATTCCAAAATGTTACACCTTTTAGGGAAAACAAATTAAATATTTAATTACCAATTGTTTAATACTGCAGACAATCATCTGACCCATAGGTGGCAGCCATCTCAAGCCAGAGGACGAGAGGACTCTAGCCGCCACGCATATAAAGGATTTATAGTGAAAAACGTTGTTTTTACGGGTTTACTTATTGAAGCTATTAGGACGGAACCACGATTGACCTCCGACAGTGGCGATGATGTTCACAATGGGTGAAGGGGCTGAGTTGGTACCCGCGACGGGTTTCGCAAACTCACAACTTTTCCGAGTGTATTTCCTTACGTTGAATACAAAAAAAGCACGGAATTGCTTGCCATTTTAAGCGCTTTAATTTTGAGCGAACACGCAACGAACAGAAACAACGAACGTTCACTTTACAATCAAAATGCAATCAAAATGTTTTTGAGCTATCAAAGATTGCATTTTCAATAAAAACTGCAGAAGAAAAATATTAAATTAATGTGGATATCTACATAAAATGATATTATAAACACACTATCCTAAAAATACAGCACCGTATTTTAACACTAAAGCAGTCACTGACTCGCAACAACTTGCTATCATAAGTGACAGAGTTAATTTCGGGTAAAATCAATGAAAATGGGGTATGCCGATAGCATAAAAAATTAACCCGTAAAAACAAAGTTTTTCACTATAAATCCTTTATATGCGTGGCATCGGGGCGGCTAGAGTCCTCTCGTCCTCTGGCTTGAGATGGCTGCCACCTATGGGTCAGATGATTGTCTGCCACCATTAAACAATTGGTAATTAAATATTTAAAAATTTCCCTAAACAGTGTAAAATTTAGAAAATGTTTTTTTCAGGAAAATGCATTGTCACGCACAACGAGTCTGTGTACAAAATGTCAGCTCGATTGGATCACGGGAAGTGGGTTAAAAAACGACCGAAAGATTTGCACGGTCCTAAGCAAGCAAGCGAACTTAATATAAAGGATTTAAAAATGAGATGTGATTGAGCAAATCTGAGATCAGATTTGGAATCGGCACCCTGAAATTAGTCTAGAACAGCTGCAAAAGTCCAGGCCAGAAAAACATGTTGTGTTGTTGTTGTTGACCAGTGTTAACGGCGAAAGTGTCCACCCCCCCACCTCCTCTCTGAAAATTGATGAAAATCAGCGACTTAAAACTGAACACCCAAAACATTTGAACTGCGGTGGCTAAAAGTCTCCACCCTGGCTACCATTTCGCCAAGAACAATGGAACGTAAAACAACGTCCCTCAAAACAAACTCCGATTCTCTTTTAATCCTCAGATTCAGAAGTGGTGTCGACATCTGGACCCTCAAACCAGTCAAAGGGTGAGTGTCGCCGTTTTGCAGGAAGCTTGATGGAAGGTGATGCAGAGACCATCTTCCCTTGTTTGATCTTTGCTGTCAACGTGTTTTTTCTTGAGATCTCAATCGCCTGTAACAAATGAACACATCGAAGACAATTGGGCATCGTCAAGAGTCTAAAGTGGTCCTCCTGCTCAAGTGAGCGTGGCTTGGTGTTCGTCTCTCGTGACGAGGTGTACGGCTCCTGCGGTGGATCGTGAGAGATGGCGATTGCGCGGGGAGGTCTTCGTCCGGAAGTGGAATGATTGTGGCCGATGAAGTCTCAATGCCACAAAAACAAGAATGTGAACGTGAAAACGAGGGCTCAAAACATCTGACACGAACACAATATTATTGTAAACATTAAACAGCATTTACATAAGAGGGGGGGGGGGGGAGCACTCAAAAGCTCCACACTGATAGAGTCAAGAATCCATGGCTACACTGCCATCTCCTGACCACCTCGTAGCCAAGCCTGGCAGTCCCCGGCAGTCTCCCACCGACTCAACCCTGCGTCGTGTCTGAGATCTACGTTCATCAGTGGGCTCATTGCAGATTGGTCAAAACAGTTGGCTTGAACGGGTGGGGTGACCAATCAGGTGATTGGCATTGATGCCGCTACACGTGGACTGGGAATGAGAGCAACCGCCAGAAGAAATGCAGCGAGACACGTGGGAAAGAGAAGAAGTCATGTCACTGCAGGCAGAAGGAGCTCTGGTGGGAGTTCTACAGAGGGTGACCGCTGTACACGGCGTCTTGGAGGATGGTGGGAATACACCCGCAACTTGACCGCAGCACACACAAGCAGGCGAGCAATGAAACGGTGCGCCCATTTATAGAGAATGAGAAGATGTATTGATACTGGAGGAATCCGATGAGATATGAAGCTGTTTTTCACAGATGTCCAGTACTATTAACTTTTTATTTTTATTTTACCAGGTGAGGCCCACTGAGCTGTATAGCTCTTGTTCAGAAGTGTACTGGCCACAAATGACAGCTCAACCAAGTAGCCTATCATGTGGACATGTATAGTAGCCAAACACTCTGAGAGCGTGTTTGTAAATGTGGAGGGGAAAATCGGAGAACCTGGAAAAAAAGCCACGCGACCACGGGGAGACCTCCTGTATGCCAGGTGAGGTCGTTCACATTTCACAACAACAAACAATACAAAAACACAATAGGAGCGCAAAGTGTAGGGAAGGTAAAAAGTTTTTTTTTTAAATAAACAAAAAAAACCTAAACCATTTTTTTCTTGTTAATTGTATTTTTTACCCTTTTATCTGGCAACAAAACTGACACCTTTTTTTACGAGGAGCCATGTTTGCATTGACCACAATACCTGCAGTCGGAATGCAAACAAAAAACACAACTCTGATAATGTATGCACCTTCCTTGAAGTTGATGTTTATCTTACCAGGCAAGGCCCACTAAACCATCAGCTTCTCTCACAGAAGCGTCCCGGCCACAAGCGCGAGCAGCTCTACGAAGCGGCTCACCACGTGAAAGATTGTTGAAGAGCAACAATGATATTTTGGAGTAAGAGAAAAAAGTGCGTGACATCATCATCTTCGATAATTGGTTCTTTACCCTTCTATCTGGCAACAAAACTGACACCTTTTTGCAAGGAGTCATGTTTGCATAGACCGCAATGCCTGCAGTCATAATACAAACAAAAGAACATAACTCTGATAATGTGCACTGTCCTTGAAGTTGATTGGTCCACACCCGAGACAGCTTTCCTTCGAGCCTAGTCTCATATGGGTTGGACCAGATGACGCCAAAAGGCGCACAACTCAAGGACAATGCACCATCAGAGTATGAGAGCTCGGGGCAAGCATCTACACTATGGGGACCTCATTTGCCAGTAAAAATATGATAATTGGTTCTTTACCCTTCTATCTGGCAACAAAACTGACACCTTTTTGCAAGGAGTCATGTTTGCATAGACCGCAATGCCTGCAGTCATAATACAAACAAAAGAACATAACTCTGATAATGTGCACTGATTAGTGCACATTGCCATTTCCCAGCATGCCTTGCATGCTGGGAAATGGCAAAGGTTTGTCTGAGAGAGCTGGGCTTTCCATAACACAAGTTTTGTGGAGAATGCTCTCACGTTGTCATAGGCAGCACTGACGAGCTGCCCCTGGCCTTGTAACTTCTTGTTCAGTACATTCAGCTCATGCGTGATGTCAACAAGAAAAGCGAAGTCCATGAACCATTTGGGATCACTTAGCACAGGAACAGCCACCCCATCCTTCTCCATGAAGGCTTTCACTTCTGCTCTCAACTCAAAAAATCTCTTCAAGACGTTTCCCCTGCTGAGCCAACGTACCTCGGTGAAGTAGAGCACATCCTCATATTCTGACTCCATTTCCTCTAAAAAAAGTACGGAACATCCGGTGCTTTAAGCCCCTGGATCTTATTTGGTTGATGCATTTCACAACAACAGACATCACATTGTCAAACTTTAGGCATTTGCTGCAAAGGGCCTGCTGATGGATGATGCAGTGCAGAGCCATGGCCTCCTCCACACCCTCCTCTTCTAGTTTTCTTTGAACAAGTGCCACCAGTCCATTTTTCCTCCCTGTCATTGATGGCGCTCCGTCGGTTGTTATTCCAACAAACTTCTTCCATGGCAAACCGGCATTCACAATGGCATCACACAGCTGGCAAAATATCTCCCGAGCGGTGGTGTGGCCATGCATTGGAATTACTGTGAGCAACTCCTCCATCACTTCAAAATTGTCATCAACACCACGGACATATATTGTGAGCTGGGCAGTGTCAGTGATGTCTGAACTCTCGTCAAGAGCGACTGAGTATGCATTGAAAAATTTGGCTTTCTCACGCAGTTGATCATAAATGTCACTTGACAGGTCTGAAATGCGCTCTGCCACGTGTTAGCAGAAAGGCTGATGTTGCTAAACTGACCTTTCTTTTCTGGACAGACTATACTTGCAGCCTGTAAGATGCACTTTTTGATAAACTCGCCTTCTGTGAATGGCTTTCCTGCCTTAGCAATCATCTCACTAACCACGTAGCTTACTTCGACTGCTGCATTATTCTCTTTGGTTGCTTTCTTGAATACATTTTGTTGCCTCAGTAGACATGTTTTAAGATTGGCAACCCAGTTGGCTCTCTCATCTCCCTGGTATTTTGCATACTCCTCAGCATGTCTAGTTGAGTAATGACGTTTGAGGTTGTATTCCTTGTGCACCGCAACTTTTTCTGTACAAATAAGACACGTCGGGTTGCTCATGTGCTCAACAAATAAATATTGCATCTCCCACTTTTCCTGAAATTGTCTGTGCTCGTCACCAACCTTTCTCTTCACTGCAGGCTTTGAAAAAGACATGATTGGGGCTGTGTGACAAGATCTATATTCATTCCACTTGCTGTCGCTCACGCAATAAAGTTTCAGTCAAGTGTTTAGCCAACCAGCGACGCACGGAGACGTAATTTCCGCAAATGCACGTCATTTCCGCTTTTTACGGTAACAACAGGTGCGTAGATTATGGGGGCGGGGGGGTAATGCGTTCCCATCAGATTTCGTCCCCACACCCCAGTCACAGGCAGACATAGCTGTAGCGGCTGCTACTATACACGCTTCTCTGTTCTAAGCACGGGGATCTGAGCCGTGTGAGCTGTGGATCTGCGCTTTGACGCGCTCCGATGCGCGCACAGTGGAGAGCCGAAAGAGGGAGAGCAGAGGACTCTATGAGGCAGCGTCATTGTGTGACCACGGGGTTCAAATGCTGCTGGCCACTGTCGGGGCTTTCACTGCCTTCAGTCACATCATCACATTTTTCTATACATTTTTGTGCTTACTTTGTGCCGGCGTGTTGGCTTGCCTGCGTTCCGGGACTTATTTGAGCAGATCCGGTACCTCTCGTATCGAGAAAAAAATGAATATTAAAAAAGTTTTTTAAGAAATGATTAAAATAAAATATAACAATATAATGTAATCACTAGAAAATTACGGAGCCCCAGTTGACATCGGTGGATGAATTACTAATTTGTGGCCACGCAATAACAAGATAATCTGCAGACTTCTAAGATGAACCAAAATAATTATGCACATCGTCATGTACAGTCTGTGGCTCGGTGCGTAAATGTCACCACCAGAGGATGAGGGAATTTAAATCATTAAAATTCATCCACACATATCAGGTGTAAATAATAATGTAAAACAGCCCAGACTGTAAAATGTAGATATTAGCTCAATGGCGTGTTATAAACTGCTGCGGTTTAGAATAATCCATCTGCGTAAAGAAGCTCCCAAAACCTCACAGTGCAGCGTGTGCGTAAAGGAGCCGTGGTGTCCCTTGAATTTGCCTTCAATTTAACAAATGGTGTGTGTGTGTGTTCCGTTCGTTTTCTCCGCTGGACACAGAAGTCGCCTTTGCTCAAGATGCCACTTTATTGACACAAAGACTGATACCGTCACTGCAGTATAGCCTAAATAAGTCCCACTGCATTGTAAGTGGCATGTGTGTGCTGTTTTAAGCGTCGTTTTATGTGCGTTCCGGGACCTGTGCGCTGTCATATGTACTTAGTGTTCCGGCACCTTGTGATTTACAAATAAAGCACTGGATACATCATGACCTGCGCGAAAGAGGGCGGAAAACTATGAATTTCACCCTCCTGCTCTCCGCGCATCCAAAGCCACTCTTTTCTCTCCCGGCTCTCTCTCTCACTCACTCTCACACGTACACAAACACACACACACCCACGACCCCGCCCCCCATGTCACTCACATGCATGCCGCATTCACTGGACAGGCACAGTAGGAAACCAGAACATCATAACATTGTCCCACACAGCAGCTAACAGCGGGGTTGCTACAATATAAAACTCGCGGGCCACACTAACATTAAACTTTCATATTAAGGTGGGGGCCACAAAATATCGTCCCGAGGGCCGCAATTGGCCCGCGGGCCGCGAGTTTGAGACCCCTGATGTAAGAGAAGCGTGTCCCCGAACCTTCAGCGCTCGCGACTAAAGCGCATTGCCTCAATCTCTTCCGTTCGGCCGCAAGCTCATCCCGTGAACGCGCCGCACGCACCTCGTGATCGGCAAACACGTCCACGCCGAGTCGGGTCAAGACCGAGACGCCGCGCGCGCGCGTGTCCAGCAATGTACCAAATGTGCAGCTCCTTTGGTCAATCCGCTGCTGGATGAGGGTCTCGCCAAGCCCGTTCGAGTCGAGTTGGGTTCGTCTGACCATACTTCACCGCGCCGGTCAGTGCGGAGAGCGTAGACGTAGGGGAGCATAGAAGTGCAGCACAACGATGGGGATTGCTGTAATATCTGACGCGAACCACCAAGCATGCCCGCAGTAATACACATACATTCGTGTGCCAATTAATCGTAAAGCATTCTCATGTAATTCTTGTCATACCCCAGGGTGTAATCAGGTGTCGTCTCTAACTCGTCGTATCCTCTAACCTCTCCACTTGGCCTATGCACAAGGGTCATTGGCCGAAACGTCTATCTACGTAAAACAATAATTTGCCTTTCAGGGCCACAGTGTTATTGTCGAATGTGCCGAGGAGTTTGTTGTTGTTGTTCGTTTCTAAATCGGCAGTTGCGGAAGCGTTCACCAATCGCAGCGTCCGACGACTTCGTCCGCGGCTCGAGCGGAGGAGGAGGAGATGTTGGGCGAACGCCCACCGGGGGTCAGAGCGTGCACAGGGGCCGTCCATAAATGACGTCACGCGATTTTGGGCGATTTTTGACCCCCCCTCTCGTCACACGGCGTCACAAAAAGTCAGAACCCCCCCCCCCCCTCAAATATGATGTCACAAAACATATTTCAATTTTGAAAATAAAACACGCTTCAAATCGATTTAAACTATTGTCATTGAAGTGCGTATTTAATGTGGCGCTGCACTCTGATGTTGTCGGAGTGTTGGTATAACAATTAGCGTTGTTATAACAATTCTATATTTATTTAAAGTTGCGCATTTTTACGTGACGTCACATTTCTCAACCCCCCCACCTCGTCACACATCGTCACAAAAATCTGACCCCCCCCTCCCCTAGGTGCGTGACGTCATTTATGGACGGCCCCACAGGGAATTCCTTGCAGCGCGCCTCTGCGTGACGATGCCACGGCAGTGACTGCATGGAGGAGGCACGTGCCGTGCACATTCGCCGTAGATGGGGGACGGCGTCAAGGTTGCGGGTTCCACTCGGCCTAGCGGGAGAGCCGCTTTACGACACGCGACTATAGAACTCGTACAGACATCCTGCGTCTGAATAACAATTAATATTATTACGATGATAACGACGATTTCTTTTGGCTTCCCCAGGAGAGCCTCGCCGAGTCTCAACGGTCTGTTTCAGGAGCGTCCTCGTGAACACCACGGCACGTTTCGAAATATATTTCATTTCCTCCAACCGTTTACAAAAATAATTCTACGTTCTACTATGTGTCATTATATTTCATTACATTTACTTCATTATATTTTATTACATTTACTTCATTATATTTCATTACATTTACTTCATTATATTTTATTACATTTACTTCATTATATTTCATTACATTTACTTCATTATATTTTATTACATTTACTTCATTATATGTTATTACATTTACTTCATTATATTTCATATCTGCCGATTGCCTTCAACCCCTCTTCCGCCCCCTGCATCCCATCGTGCTCTGGGCGTCACGTGACAGAAACTCCGTTCGGATCTCCCACAGTGCAGCAGCGCGACGCGACGACCCCTTAGTGTCAAGGCAACGGCCCGCGGAAGAGGATACCACAGAGCTGCTTCCGAGATCCCCTTTAACAAACAAAACATAATACAAATATAACCCGTAAAAACAAAGTTTTTCACTATAAATCCTTTATATGCGTGGCGGCTAGAGTCCTCTCGTCCTCTGGCTTGAGATGGCTGCCACCTATGGGTCAGATGATTGCATGGCACCATTAAGCAATTGGTAATTAAATATAAAAATTTTGTCCTAAAAAGTGTAAAATTTTGGGGAAAAAATGTCACGAACATAAATTGTCACGCACAACGAGTCTGTGTGCAAAATGTCAGCTCGATTGGATCACGGGAAGTGGGTTAAAAAACGACCGAAAGATTTGCACGGTCGTAAGCGCGCAAGCAAGCAAGTGAACTTAATATAAAGGATTTAATAAGGGAGCTCTGGTCCGCCGCAGTAAGAGGCCAGCATTTCCCCCACCAGCTCGGCAATCGGTGGGGTTCATGTTCGTCGCAAGGCCAACCGGATCAAGTGCGGAACCCAATGTGACGCGCTTGCTGCTGTTGTTGTTGTTGTGTTGTCACTGGTGACGGGCCTGACAATCCACTCGCTGCACTTGCGGGAACGTGGGCCGACTCTCACACTCGAGCGGTGTCGCCATGCGCAAGTTCACAGTGTCTCTAATCATATATTCTATAGAAATGTCTGAAATGTTCTTGTGAAAGCGTCACTCTGAGTCTCAAGACTCTTAAGTCGATTTGGTTTTTTTGAAGGTGGAACACTTATACTTACGTTGAAAGGTTTGACCAAATTCCAATGGCGATGAAAATTTTGGCTTCGCGGGAGGACGGAACGGGGGATGCCGGACAAAGCTGAGCTCAGTTGGGAGGAGTCGCCGCTGCCGCCGCCGCCACTCAGAGGGCGCGCGGTCTTACTGATGAACTCGTCGAGTGATTTGTTGCGTTTGTTGTTGACAATCTGTGACTGTGCACCGCTGCGAATGTAGCGGCAGCAGCAGCACCGAATCGCTTCGCTCGCTATTTATACATTGGAGCCCGGCGTTGCCAGCCGTCTTTGGTCATTTCTCGAATCGATTATCGCGCAGTTCATTCCCGTCGGCCGTCGTGAAGGCGGGGGGTCTTTCTACTCGCCAGTGATGTTACAGACGGATCGGGGTACACGGACACGGCCAAGACGAATCGATATATCGGCGAAACTCCGCCCTTGCTGTGCGAACCTCGATCCCAGGCTGCGTTCCCGGGCTGAAGCGCATTCGCTGTGGCTGGGCCAAGGCTGGTTGGGATTCCCTACCTACCGCTGGAGATTCGTTTATTCGATGGTGTGGACACTTTCAATAAGTATCGTCCTAAACCCACATCTTGGCAAGTCAATGTAGTCTTCATAGCTTCTCCGTCTCTCTTGGCCGTGTTCTTACAAGGCGCCTTGAGGCACTTTGACGAATACATGTTAATCATTATTACTGGATGAGCTTTGGAACAACAGCACGGAGAGAGACAGAAAGATTGAGCGCGTCGATCTGTGAGCCAGTGCAAGTTAAAATGTATCTTCTCGATTGTTGAGAAAAGTCAGTGGGACAGAGCAAAACAACTGGTAACACCCTAATATGGTCGTAGCTAATCTTTAGGCGGTACCCAGTTTTGTATTTGGCCGACGATACGCTAGGGACAGGCTTTTGTAACCTCACCTCATTTCCAACGCAGATAAATAGCAAGCAAGTCTTCCTCGTGCGTGTGTTGTGTGTTGTCCTTTTCACCCCCCACTGCGGCACCTCCGATTAGTGGAACGGTGGGGAGGCCTTCATTCAGCAGGGGAACTATCAAGGCTGACAACGATGACGATACACAAACAACTGGTTATCGTGATGCCCTGCATCCGCTGGAGGCGCTATGTCGGCCGCAAGGCTACAACGGAAAAACCAAATGCTTCTGTGGGAGTTCCAATCCGGATGGTGGCTACAACACGTGTAGTAGTAGCTACACGTGTAGCTACTACTACACGTGTTGTAGCTACTACTATACGTGTTGTAGCTACAACACGTGTAGTAGTAGCTACACGTGTAGTAGCTACAAATGCTACAGGCCCCGCACTTTCAAGGGCCCCGCGCTAAATGCTTTCAAGCTGTCAATATCGGTTCAGTTATTCCGCACTTGTTCTATTACTATAGCACTACGAGCTTTTTTGCCCGTCCAAGGACGGGTGTATATTACAGTACATCTGAAATATTCAATAGAAAAATTGTTCAGCTCATGATTATTAATGAGGAGGGGTGGGGTGGCCCCATGTGGAGTGACGTCACCCCCTCATTGTTATTGGGGAGGGGTGCGGCATGCGGAGTGACCTCAACCGCTCATGGTTATTAGGGAGGGGTGCGGCATGCGGAGTGACCTCACCCGCTCATGGTTATTAGGGAGGGGTGCGGCATGCGGAGTGACCTCACCCGCTCATGGTTATTAGGGAGGGGTGCGGCATGCGGAGTGACCTCACCCGCTCATGGTTATTAGGGAGGGGTGCGGCATGCGGAGTGACATCACCCGCTCATGGTTATTAGGGAGGGGTGCGGCATGCGGAGTGACATCACCCGCTCATGGTTATTGGGGAGGGGTGCGGCATGCGGAGTGACATCACCCGCTCATGGTTATTAGGGAGGGGTGCGGCATGCGGAGTGACATCACCCGCTCATGGTTATTGGGGAGGGGTGCGGCATGTGTAGTGACGTCACCCCCTCATGGTTATTAGGGAGGGGTGCGGCATGTGGAGTGACCTCACCCGCTCATGGTTATTGGGGAGGGGTGAGGCATGTGGAGTGTGCGACCTTCTAGTGCGTCAGTGTAAATTACACGCGTGGTGCATGAATATTAATGAAGGGGGGGGGGGGGCTCTTTTTCAGTGACGTCACACACGGATGTAGCACTGTGCTGCGTAGATTTATTTTTTGACGTCACTTCCTATAAAGAAACGCTGTCATATTTGAAGCGACTCTGCGTTATAAACTATTTAACTCAGCTCGACCTTCCTCTGCGCTGGTGTAAACATCCACCCGCTCATGAATATTAGTGAGCGGGGTGTGCCTCGTGTGGAGTGACGTCACGCGGTGGGGTGTGCCTCATGTGGAGTGACGTCACGCGGTGGGGTGGGCCTCATGTGGAGTGACGTCACGCGGTGGGGTGTGTCTCATGTGGAGTGACGTCACGCGCGGGACGGACAGACATTTCTGGGCGATTATAGTAGGCAATACCGCCTTCAACTTTTACGAACGACTGCGTGTTTAAGATTAGCGATTTGTCGTATTATTTGGCTGTATAGCAAATGAAAAAATTACAATTTTTTTACTGTGCAAGTAAAACAGTGTTTTAATATTTGCGTGTTTTTATTTTATTTAGGGCCCCTTCATAACGTCCGCTACCTCATTGTTCAACGTAACAACAACAACAGCAACAACAACAAACAACATATTTGGCGACACTTGCTTTGCAAGTGATGTACAATCACTGTTAACATTATAGGCAAGCTCACCTATAGCGTACAGGACCCTTGGCCAATTTTCTAGCTTGGACGAAGACCCCCCCCCCCCCCCCCCCCCTAGGGAGCCTCTCCTGCCGCGAGACGCGTCCGTCACGTGTTCGAACACGACGAGCGAATTGGGGGAAACCCAAATCATCCTTCGGGCTGCACCGCCAGGTCGGCCGACGACTGCCCCCGTGGCTGCCCCTGGCACGGTGCCCATCATCGCGAACCTTCCCACTTGCCCGCCACCCGCGTCGACCGATCTGGTCCACCGAGCCACGGATCTGGCAACGTTTGCCTCCCCGGGAGCAATGGATCCTCATCCTCCTCCTGCCGCTGCTGCTGCTGCTGGCTCCTCCTGGCTCCCCAGCTGCTCACGCGCGGCCAGGCGAGAGGATGTGGAACACGTCTTCGCCGAGCAGCAGACGGGCGAGCGTGTGGAGGAGTCGCGGGTACCAGTGAATTCCTTCTCCCTCCGCTCCCGGTGCGTTCTTGCTACTGCTGCTGCCGCTGCCGCTGCTATTGCCGTCGCCGCCGCTGCTGCTGCTGCGCGAATGTATCCCGAGGCCCCGCATGAGCTCGTGGGCCGTGCGGAGCGGCGCGAAGGCGACGTGAGCCAGGCCGTGCGTCTCGACGGCCGCGTAGCACGACACCAGCAGCCCGTCGACGATCGCCGTGCCGTGGTGCGTGAGCGGCGCGTACGACCCCAGCGCCTCCACCCAGCTCACGCGCACCACGCGCACCGCACGCAGCCGCGGTGCTCCGTCATCGCCAACAACAACACCACTACCACCACCACTAACGCCACCAGCACCACCACTAACGCTACCACCAGCACCACCACTAACGCTACCACCAGCACCACCACTAACGCCACCAGCACCACCACTAACGCTACCGCCAACACCACCACTAACGCCACCAGCACCACCACTAACGCTACCGCCAGCACCACCACTAACGCTACCACCAGCACCACCAGGAAGATCAACACCACCGCCACCACCAACACGACCAGTAGCAGCAGGATCAGCAAGAGCACCCGCCAGCTCAAAGACGAACATGCCGGGCCGCACGCGGCTGGCAAAGAGGGCCACGGCGCGCTCCTCCGGGGGAACACCGCTGCCACTATCGCCGCCGCCGTCATCGTCGGAGTCTCCGGGCGCGGCGAACACGAGGTGCGAGGGGGGTGACGAGGAGGCGGCCGCCGCCTTCCGTCTCCAGGGTGATGAAGCGGCGCCGCTGGCGGGGCTCGCGGTCGAGGAAGAGGAGGAGGTCGCTGTAGGCGGGCGGCGAGGTGGGCCCGCTCGCCGCCAGGACGCGCTCGCCGGCCCGCAGGTCGCGCAGCCTCTTGGAGCCGCCGCCCTCCACCAAGAGGCGCGCGTCGCCGTGGAAGCAGCCCT